TAATTAATCATCCTGAAAACAGTTCAGTCCCTCTCCGTTTTTAGGGATTACTCAAAGGCTACATTTCAAAGAAGTTTCTATCACTTCTGCTCTTTTACCACACTGCCCAATATTCCACCACCCTTTCTCAGGCCACTCTCTGTCCCTGCTGTCATTGTAACCCACATCCAGCGTAGAGAAGAGACAGTGCAGAGGAGTCAGCTTCCTCCCTGGCCTGGCCACAGAGCGACACTCCCTGTCCTTTAACTTCACAGGTTTTGCTTGAGTTCATTCTCTCTTTCTCAGTACCTGGAGCGGAGAAATGGTTGGAGACCACACACCCAGGTGTCAGCTGCACCAGCCTCAGGGATGAAATTAGACTAGGGCTAGGTTCAACTACAGCAGCGGTTCTCAACCTTTCTAATGCTGCAGCCCCTTAATACAATTCTTTATGTTGTGGTGACCCCTAACGATAAACTAACTTTTGTTATTTGTTACTGCTGTGAATCCTAATGTAAATATCTGATATGCAGGATATCTGATATGCGACCCCCGTTAAAGGATCATGAGACTCCCAAAGGGTTTACGACCCATAGGTTGAGAACCACTGAATTAATGGCTTCATCAAAAAGTTGTTCATTCTTCCCACTGGGCATGAAAGAAAAGATCAAGCTGCCTGTTTTTCTCAGAACACTGCATAGCCCCCTCTACCCTTTTCTGGTAAACAGAGGAACACAGAGAGAATTCTGTACCAGGGATAAAAACAGCCACACAGTACAGTAGCAACAGAAGGAACATTGGCAGGAAGAAGCCAGAGGTGAGGACAGCAGCTAACTGCCACGCACGTCCCTGCCCGAGGGCACGGCTCCCGCTCAGCCCCAGCGTTACTGGATATTCTAGTTTGTCAAGGCAGCTGGAAACTGACTTTTGATGTGGAAACCTTCCAATTCTTAGATGGTATCATAAATTGAAAACAAAGGAAATTGTGTGGCCAAACAAAACATGGCGACCAATTAATGACCACACTGCATTATCACAGGATACGTAGGCCCATCTTCCAGTAGAGAGATGTACAGTGTTTTTCCCAGGGGCACAGGGAGAGGGGTGTAGGCAGATTGGTTTATTCTATATTTTAATCCCCCTACCCCCTGACTTTTTTGAGACAGGGTTTCTCTGTGGCTTTGGAGGCTGTCCTGGAACTAGCTCTCATAGACCAGGCTAGTCTCGAACTCACAGAGATCTGCCTATCCCTGCTTCCCAAGTGCTGGGATTAAAGACGTGCACCACCACCGCCTGGCCTATATTTTATTTTTTAAAGATGTATTTATTATGTATACAGTATTCTGTCTGAGTGTATGCCTGCAGGTCAGAAGGTGGCACCAGATCTCTTTACAGATGGCTGTGAGCCACCATGTGGTTGCTGGGACTTGAACTCAGGACCTCTGGAAGAGCAGTCAGTGCTCTTAACCTCTGAGCCATCTCTCCAGCCCTTATATTTTAATTTTAAGAGATTTGTGTGTGTTCACGTATGAGCTTGTGTGGATGTGAACCTGTGTTCACATGAAGGCCAGAAGAGGGCACCACCTGTCCATACTCCCCACCTATTTCTTTGAAGCAGGGTCGTCTCTGAGCCTGAAGTTTGAGTTTCCTTGGCTGGACTGGAAGCCAGCATCAGTTAGCCTCACATTGCCACTGTCTGCGGAGATGGGGTTGGAAGTGTGCACGAGGTATCCGATTGTTTTGTGGGTCCTGGGATTGGAATTCTGGTCCTTCTGATTAGAACAGCAAGCACTCTTAGGCACCAGGCCATTTTTCCAAGCCCCTTTCTTTTGAGACAGTGTCTCTCTGTGTCGCCCAGGCTGGTCTTGAATTCATGACTCAGCCTCCCAAATGCTGATATTACAAAAATGCACCACCTTGCCATCAGTTTAAAACATCTCAAGGGGGTCAGTTCAGTTCAAAATTGTGTCCCCTCATCATACTGCCTTATGCACGGCAAGAGAAAAGACAAGGTCCTTTGATTCTGCAGGTCACTTTGGTGTTTCGTAGTCTGGGGTCCTTCTGCCTCTAGTTGGTTGTTAGAGATGTCCTGCTCTGTGCTGTCACCCCCCTGCCTCTGCGGCTCAATCCAGCTGATTCTTTGCATTGTCCCGCTGTGTAATCCAGGCTGCCCTCAAACTTGGAATCCTCCTGCTTCAGCCTCCTGAGTGCTAGGATTGGGGCATGCATCATTATACCTGGCTCTAATTAGTTCTGCCTGGGTCCAGTACACTGGGATTTACTCAGCCTTGTCTAACAGAAAATGGGGCATGGGATATATGACTGCTTCTTCCAGCCCGCAGATGGGCTCGTTGGATGGACAGAGAGGCAAGGGTGTAACCCCTTAGTGCATCGTTGCCCCCCCCCTCTTCCCGGGACAGATGGTAGATGTCTTCCACTTGTGTATTTAAGATTCCCTTTAAGTGGGACAGACATGCAGGCCCCTCCTCTGGCTCTGGGTTAGACAGACATGCAGACCCCTCCTCTGGCTCTGGGTTGGACAGACATGCAGGCCCCTCCTCTGGCTCTATTGCCGGACTCTAATGTAGAAAGCTGAGCCCTTTTTTTTTAACCCCCACTAAATTGTCCCTTTACATTTTCCAAGTGCTCAGTGAGGTGCAGGCATTTTATTCCAGGGCTTGGATCCTTGTCAATCTTTCCAGCAGGCCCTGGCTCATATCACGTAAAGATCCTGTATGTAAATGGAACACTTCTTTGCCAGTCTGGGCACTGCTATAATGCTTGGAAAGGAAAACCTATCTCCATGCTTAAAACAACACCACCAACAGCAGGCTGGGCGTGGTGGTGCACACCTTTAATCCCAGCACTCAGGCAGATCTCTGTGATTTCTAGGACAACCAGGGAATCACAGAGAAACCCTGCCTTGAAAAAAAACCCAACAAAACATCAAAAACATAAAGGTGCGCAGGCATACTGAAAGTGTATTTCCTTCAAATGGTCCTATCAGGCTTCAGAAAGGAGGTCACAATGACATGACATTCTGGTCCAGGGGCCAGCAAACCACATGCTCCCCCTTACCGTTGGCCCACTGCCTGCTTTTAGAGTTTCTGTTTTGTTTCTGAAGGTCAGCTATACCTGCCTGCCTGAGTATCTAAACTGTCTATTTCTCCACAAGGCCAGAGTTCAGTAGTTACACCAGAGACAGTGTGGCCCATAAAGAGAAATGCTTAACCTCCTAGCCCTTTGTAGAAGTTTACCGTCGCCCATTGTAGTCCATTTATCAGAACCCCTCTCCAGACTGAGAGCCACAGTTACAATTTTGTGAAGTTCTTGGAAAAAGGAAACTGAGATTTCAAAAAACATTCCTGGAAGAATGCTGGGTAATTCAAAATAGGACACACTCCGGGCTGTTTGACCCGGCTCAGGTGCTGCCGAGGCTTGCTATTGGGTGGTATTTTTAGTTAGGGCGTGCTGGGTAAGAATCTTTACAATAGAGTTTCTGATTGTGTCCATTCTAGGGGAGTGTGTTTGCTTCCTGGCCTAATAGCTTGAGGAAAGTAGAACCTGCCAGTGTCGTGTTTATGTCTGCTAAACAAACCTTACTCTTAAATCTTCATTTTATTACTTTTATTCTCATAAAAGTAATATAAATAGACCATTAAAAGTCAGAGAATTCGTGACAGCACAGGGATGGAAAATTTAAATCGCCCTTGATTAGGAGTTCCTAGCATGTACGTAGAGCTAATGAACTAAGAAGTTTGCATTCAGTCTTTGCAAAGCAGATCCTTATTCCTACTGTTTTGAAATAGGTTTTCTAATTAATGTGTATGAACTTGGAGGTTATTTTTAGAATATAGTTTTGCATTACCTGCGTACTATTTTGTATCTATTCTTTCATTTTATTTAGTTCCTTTTTGCTGTCCATTTTGGTTACTGCCAAGTGTTGGTTACACAGAAATGACATGTGTTCTTCGTGTCTATGTCTTTAGGACAAGTTTCTGGGTTTAGAATTGCTGCCTTGTGACTGGGGAGATGGCTCTGTGGTTAAGAGCACCAGCTTCTCTCCTAGAAGACCTGGGTTCCATCCCCCTAGCGCCCACATGGTGGCTCTCAACCGTCTGTTAACTCCAGTTCTAGGAGGATCTGATGCCCTCTTCTGGTCATGATAGGTATTGCATACATGTGGTGCACAGACATACATGTAGTCAGAATCCCCACACATAAAGTAAAAATAAAGAAATCTTTAAAGAAAAAAATAATAAAGAACTGCTGCTTTAACAGGCACAAGCCAGCTGGAGAAATGGCTCAGTAGGTGAAGCGTCAGAGTCTCAGAACTCACATAAGAAGCTGGGCGTGGTAGTGTGGTCCTGAAACTACAGGGAGGAAAAGACAGCTCATTGCTCAGCCAATCTAGCCTGCTCAGTGAGATCCGGGTTCAGTGAGAGACCCTGTCTGAAGAAGTCAAGGTGGAGAACAATTGAGGGAAGACACCCAGTGCCGCTCCTGGGCCTGTGTACACACGGCACACCCGCCACCCCCCACATACATGCATACACACACACACACACACACACAGGCACAAGCACGCACGCACGCTCACACACATGCACGTGCATTCACGCATGCACGCACGGGCATTCACGCATGCACGCACACAACACATGCACATGCACACGCTCACACACACTCACACACGGAATGCAGCTCATCGGTAGAGTTTGTACTTACTTAGTATGAATGAGGCCCTGGGTTTACTCTCCTGGCCTGGAAAAAAAAAGGTCTTGAATATGTGAAGTCTTTGGTTCACACCTGCCATCTGTCCACCAGGAACAGTGTGCCGATTCCCACACCCACCAGGAGGGACCACAGTACGGTTTTCACAGTAAATTAGAATTTATTTTCCTATTTGTATCGGGGAAGTGCTTCAGTGAGCTACCTTGGTTTAGGTGACCTGAACCCGGTGCTCTGTAGTGCTGGGAGGCACAAGCTGAGTGACTGTCATTCTGGCTTCTCTCACACAGACTCCCCCACCAAAGCCACCTCGGCGGCAGGGAGGCTGGGCAGAGGACTCTGTGAAGGTGTCAAAGTGAGTACACAACTCCCTGGGGGCATGCTAGGGTGGGGGGTGTGGCATACCTGTGTCGTCATTTTCGTAAGCTTTCTGAGGTAAGTCACACACCGTTTAAGTGTACAATATAATTGTTCTTAGGATAGGCACAGTTCTGCACTGTCACCCAGTCAATTTTAGGACATTTTTCTCCCGTTCCACCTCACAAGCCCTGTATCTCCTAACAGCCCCTTTCCACACCACCGACGTCCCACCATGGACAGCAGTCAGTTTCTGTGTCACTTGCTTCTGCTGAGGTCCATGTCAGTGGGCCCCTGATTTATTCCATCCTTCGTGACTCCTCTTGCTGGCCGGCCATTTTCAAAGTCCAGCCCTGCTCTGTCCTTCCTGTCTCCAGCATGCTGGAATGGCCTGCCAGTTACCGTGGATGAACTCTGCCACCTGTCTGCATTGGACACATCATTCATGTGTGAGGAATAGGACAGGTGTCCCATCACCGCCTAGTTGGCATCTCACGTTTATCATAAACCGGTGCCGGGAGCTGGTTGCAGCATTGGTTCACAACAAGTCAACATTGTCTTATCATCCTCTCTTCTTCTTTGGAGCTCCTAGAAGGAACAACCAGTGTCAGACCCGGGCATCCCTTTTAGGTTGTGGGGGCTGTGGATGCTCGGTCCATCCTCACCCAGCGGATAAAGTTGGGTGTTCATGGTCCTTGAGCCTCTGGGTGGACACAGCAGTGCTTCTGACTGGGTGGACACAGCAGTGCTTCTGCCTGGGCAGTGCAGGGGTTAAAGCAAAGACCGGTGCTGTTCTGATAGCCACCCCCACCCCTACTCTCCACTCCCCACCCCAGCCCTTCCACGCCCGTGTCAGACGCCTTGTGGTTCCATGTTGAGAAATGGCAGAGCGCGGTGATCAAGAGGCACAGACTCTGGGACCAGAGTGCCTGGTTCAAATCCTGCTGTGCTTGATGTTACACCACGGAGACCTTGAGCAGGGAAGTAGGGTTAAAACAGCTCCTTCTTCAGTGGACTGCTGTGAGGATCAGCGGGTTCACAGAAGAGAAAGACGAATTTAGGAGGCACTGGGTAGATGCTGGATGCTGCTGCTATGGTGATAATTGGGTTTCTTGTCCTCATCCTTTCGGATGGCTTTGACCATTTTCTCTACCAGTGTTCTGGCAGATAGTGATGCTTATGCCTTTCCTCAAAGGGTCTTTTGGGAGTACATCTAGCTCTAGAAAACTAAGGGTTGTTTTGAATATTGGTGTCCTTAGGTGTCTTAACATGGGCATGTCAGGCTTCCAAAGGGAGCTTTATGGGATTTTCTTGGTTGGGTTTTGTGTGTTCCTTTGTTTGTTTGAGGCAGGATCTCACTCTGTAACGCTGGATAGCCTGGGACTTGCTGTATAAGTAGCCCAGGCTTGGCCTTGAACTCCCAGAAATCCACCTGCCTCTGCCTCCCTAGTGCTGTGGTTAAAGTCATGCATGGCCATGTTGGACTTGTTTGTTTTATTTTTGAGACAGATTGCCCTGTGGCCCAGGCTGGCTTCTAGGTCAATATGTAGCTAAGAATGACCTTGATCTTGTCTGATCCTCCCGCCTCCACCTCCAGAGTGCTGGGATAACAGGTGTGCACCACCACGCCTGGCTTGCACGGTGGCAGGACTCAAACCCAGGGCTTCATTCACTGCTAGATGAAAGTATTCCACCCACTGAGCTGCGTCCCCAGTGTGACGAGCGTGTTAAGTCTAGACAGAGATGGAACTCTTGAGCCATCTGGGACAGCATCCATGTCTCGTCTCTGGGAACGTTTCCAAAAGACTTATGTTGAGTCAAGGAGAACAGTCCACCACTTCTTCCTACCACTCTCGAAAGAGCCCGGTTTGCACACTGATGGTCACGTGACGGTTGGTCGTCTGCGATCTTGCCCATAGGAATCAACTTAAAGCCGTGGACGTCTGATCCAGACACACCTGGGTGTGGATTCTGGTTGTAGCACATACTTCAGTGGCAGTGTACACTTGGGGATGTTACTTAGCCCTGTAAGATGGCAGCGGTATTCAGGGCACAGAGTTGCTCTGAGGCTGCAACACACAACACAGGAAAAGCGCACAGTCAGTGGAGTGCCCAGCCGGGCACTGCAGTTCATGTTAGCGTGTGCAAGGCCCCAGTTTGATCCCCTGTGCCGTAAGAAACTAAAGTATTCTAACAGCGGTGCTTGCAAATGTGTTGGTGCAGCTCTCTCCTAGTCCTGGGATTATAAAATAGGAGGCTGTCACTTGGCCAGTGCTGGCTGCCACCTGCACTGGGAGCCTCTGGTTTTCACCGGTTCTGCGGTGGGCAGTTTCCCGACTGAACAGTTCCGCTACAGTTGGGTTTTGTGGCTTCTAGAAGTTTGATTCATTGTGTGAGCCAGCTAGCCTCGGCTAGTCTGACACCAAGGGTACTGTTGGACATTTTATTTAGTCCCATTTTACAGATGAAGTAAGTGGAGTGGGGGTGGCTCTAAGTTGACAGGGGAAGTACTCTGTCTGTTCAGAGTTCCCTGCTAACGGTGGGCTTACAAGTCTGTTTTGTGTTTAGCACCTTGTATTAAGTCTTCATTGTAGGCCAAACCTATATTCACTCCACCAGTGGGATGGCCACTCACCAAGGTTATTTAAGACATACAAAGATGCACACTGTCTTAAAGATGTGCAGTCTTAAAGAGTAGACATCACCCATAATCAGATTTTCTTTGAGCAGCTGTCTTCAAAACAACATGTTACAGAGGTTTCCTTGGCCTGGATATGTAGCTCGGTGGAAGGGAGTTTGCCTAGCATGCAAAAGGTTCTGGGTTCTGTCCCCAGCATTAGAGCAGAATCAAAAAACCAACAGCAGGACATGTTTCTTTCCAATCCTTTTCATCCCTTCCTCCCCCTCTCTTCTCCCGCCATCTCCCTCATCCTCCTGAACCATTCCAAAGTGAGTTGTAGATGTTATGACATTTATTCCTAAATGCTAAAGCCTGCATCCTCCAGCATAGTCACAGAAACATGATCACCAGGTCACTGCATAGTTACTTAATAGTATGAGATACGTAGTTTACATGTAAATGTCCTATTTGTCCTTCGATGTTTTTCTAGCTCTGGAAGCCCATCAGAATCCACACATTATACCAGCTAGTTCTGTCTCCTCCCCGCTTTCTCTCTCAGGAGATGGGGTCTTTATAACCTAAGCCTCAAACCCGTATCCATCCTCAGCCTCTCAAGTGCTGCAATGACAGGTATAGGCCCAGGTCCTTTCACTTTCTATAACTGCTCCCACTTCTATGTCCGAGGCGTCCGGGCCAGTTGCCTCACAGAAGGTCTCCAGTTTGTCATGACTAGATTCAAGATGAAGGTCTGGGGCAAGAACAGGTGATACCGTGTGCTTCCTGCCATGTCTCATGAGAAGGCACACGATTGAACATAGCCCCACGTCAGTGGTACCGAGGGTAACTGCTCGGCTTTGGTGGGGACAAAGCAAATAGGGACGACTTTGGTTGTCTCGGCTCTGCTCGGAGTCTGTTCTCCACAATTGTCCCCCTAGCAACTTTAGTGCTTCCTAGTGATTTTGCACAAACCAGAATCTGTTCGTGAGTACCACAGTGCAGGGTGTGTTTCCTGTCCTGGGAGAGCTAGATTCTAATCAAGGACATCAGGCATCTCTAGTCAAAAAGTCACGAATCCCCCAAGGAGGATGGGGTAAGAGAGGGGCAAGTGGCATGGGTGGTGCTAGCCATGTGGCATCAGAAGAAAGTGGCTCTAGGTCAGAGGCCCCTTCTAGAGGAAACAGGGTGAAGCCACTTGGATTCTGACAAAGACAGTGAGAGTGGGCTGGTTGCATCGGAGAACTGAACTGGAGAGTGGTGTGCTGACTTTAAAAGCTTCTGGGATAACAATAGCCTCGTGGCACTACACACGTCTGCCACAGTCTGGCTGCTATAAGGAATCACCAGATCCCCGGAGCTCAGACAATGTCCACTAGTCTTTCTGGGGGCAAGATGTCTAAGGTCGGATGACATAGTTCTTAGTGAGGAGCTCTTTTTGGGTAGGTCAGTTTCTTTCCCTCTCTCCCATCGTGAGAGCTCCATCCTTGTGACCTCAGCCCAGCCTAATCACCACCCGAAAACACCATCACCTTAGGGATTAGGGTTTCAGCATAAGAAACTGGGGATGGGGTGCAAACAGCTTGTAGCCGTGACAAAAGTCAGGAAGTCTCCATTCAGTGAAGTAGGACAGATGACAGTTTGAGACCGCTACATGTCTCCTGTGGCTCTGACAAATGAACTCACAGCGACACACATGAGCTCCAGGGATACCTTTGCTCAGTGAAGCACTCCTTAAGACAGAGCAGAGTATCTGTGGGCCTTGGACCTGAGAGGTACCATGTCCTAAAACCCAGGCTCACTCCAAGGTGGGTAGGATTGACTTGAAGAATGCCTTGCGACCTGAAATTCTTACCTGTCCCTTCTCCTGGCCTGAAAGTAGTAGCTGTGCCAAAGCCACCATCTTGGAGTCAGCTGCCTGAAGTTGTCCAAATGGGAACACTAACAGAGTTGGTGGGTCACCAGTGTGGCCGTGGTGAGCAGAGCTGAGTGCAGGGACCCAGACCTGGGAAGGAGAGGTCTTCTGACTAAGTTTTGCCTCAAAGTGTCTGTTTTTGGGTTTGTCCCTGCATTGATCTGCAAAGGAATGAGGCAAGTAATGGCCCCTTGGGGACTTTGAGGACTTTGCTCTCAATGTCAGCCGTCATTTTCAATCACCCTCTCCCTCCCAGCCATTAATTTTGGCCCAGGATCATGGGGACTTGTCCATCTATCACTCCTAATTGACACTAAATGATCTGTCAGTTTATTGATGAACGGCAGGAGTGGAATTGTCACAATATATTTTACTTTCCAACAACTCCTCCTGACAATTTTACCTTGTCCATCTCGCTCTGCTCACATAAATCTCCATTGGCCGCTCATTCCTCCTCACGGGCTGTTCT